CTCAACGGGGTTCTCTCCATTTGAACTACTCTATGGACGCCAGGTGAGGGGGCCGCTTGACCTACTCAAAGACTACTGGGAGAATCCAACCCCCTCGGGAGAGAACGTCGTGGCCTATGTAGTTAAGATGAGGCAACGCTTTGAGGAAATGTCTGAGCTGGCACAAGAGAATATGAAGACTGCTCAACAAAACCAGAAAGTGTGGTACGACCGCAAAGCCAGAGAACGAAGCTTCAAACCAGGTCAAAAGGTTCTCCTACTCCTTCCCACCTCCGATAGCAAGCTCCTGTCTAAATGGTATGGCCCATATGAAATCACAAAGAAAGTGGGTGAGCTCACATATGAACTGTTTATGCCTGACAGAACCAAAAAGCATCAGAAATTCCATGTGAATTTGCTGAAAGAATTTTTTTCTCGTCCAGTATCTGTCCCTCAGCTGTTGATCCGGTCTGTGCAAGACGAAGAAACCCCAGAGAAGTTTACACCTGGAAGTCTGGGTGAGTCATCTGTGTTAGATACGTCACATCTGTCTATCTCTCAGCAGAAAGAGGTGACTCCACTCATTGACTCAGGGCTCTTCAAAGAAACTCCTGGTTACACAGACCTGGTACAGCACAACATCCGGCTGAAGACTGAGGCGCCGCCACGTCAGAAGAGCTACAGAATCCCGGAGCGACTAGTGCCAGTGCTGAAAAAGGAAATCGAAATGATGCTGGAACTGGGTATAATTGAGGTATCCAGTAGTGAATGGTGTAGTCCAGTGGTGCTTGTACCAAAGAAAGATGACTCACTGAGATTTTGCATAGACTTTCGGTACCTGAATTCTGTTTCACTGTGTGACCCTTACCCAATGCCCAGGATTGATGAGCTGGTGGAGCGAGTGGGAAAAGCCAAATACATCACCACCTTAGACCTGAGCAAAGGCTACTGGCAGGTGGCGCTGTCTCCTGAGGTCCATGAATTGACGGCATTCAGAACTCCATTTGGTATGTACCAATTTCGAGTTATGCCATTTGGACTCCAGGGGGCGCCAGCCACTTTTCAGAGGCTTATGGACTATGTGCTGAGAGATGTTTCAGAGTTCGCGGCGGCATATCTGGACGATGTCGTTATCTACAGCCGAAACTGGGAAGAACACATGGCTCATCTCCAAGGAGTCCTGAAGCGCATTAAAGCAGCTGGCCTTACTATTAACCCGCAGAAATGCTGTTTGGCGCAGAGAGAAGTAGAGTACCTCGGTTTTGTGATCGGCCATGGGAAGCTCCGACCACAGGTGGGGAAAATGGAGGCAATCCATTCGTTCCCGGTCCCCACAACAAAGAAGAAAGTAAAGAGTTTCCTCGGTCTGGTGGGCTGGTACAGAAAATTTGTTCCTCACTTTTCAGATTGCTCGGCTGTTCTTCATGATCTCACCAAAGCCACGGCCCCAAGAAAGGTGAGATGGAGTGATCGCTGTGACCAGGCTTTCAGAGATCTCAAAGAGTCAATTAATGAGCACACAGTACTGCAAACCCCTGATTTCAACCAACCCTTCATTCTACAAACTGATGCATCAGGAGTAGGTCTGGGGGGAGTTTTGCTGCAGGAGGTGGATGGAGAGAGGAGACCAGTGGCCTTTTTAAGTAGAAAACTGCTGGACAGAGAGACAAGGTATTCAACAGTAGAGAAAGAGTGCTTGGTCATGAAGTGGGCAATTGAGTCGCTGAGGTACTACTTGATGGGGCGTCACTTCAGCTTGGAAACTGACCACCGTGCTCTTCAGTGGCTCCACAAGATGAAAGACTCAAACACCAGAATTGCTGGGTGGTACCTGGCTCTACAGCCGTATAACTTCACTGTTTACTACAAGGCGGGCAAGTGCAATATAGTTGCTGATGCTCTCTCCAGGATTCATGAAATTTAGAAGGGCTGCACCCTTAAGAGAGGGGGGAGGAAATGTAATGTAGCAGAGTCCATTACTGGGTGTGTACAGGTGAGGGAAATGAGACACTAAATTGTTTTAAATACAGTTTATTAAAGATTGGGTTTTAATGTAAACGTGCAACCTGTAATTACTCACCTTTTTGTTTCCTGTTTGTCTAGCACCTAAAGAGGGTTCCGGGTGCATCCACTCTGCAGAGAGGAGGGGTGTCCTGGGTTTTATTTTGTGACTTGAGTAATGGGGTAGAAATAATAAATCACTGCTAAATTAATAAAGAGATATATTTTTGTAATTTTGTAGAGGATATATTCACTGCGTTAATTATTGCTGTATTTTTTTGTGTATTTTGAGCTGCAGTGGGTGTGGTCTAATTGCTGTCACCTGCTATAAAAGCAGGCCACCAGCTCTGAGCTGAGAGAGTGCTGGTGGACATGCTGTCCTGATTTTAACACAAAAAAATGTAAATAATGTAAATAAACCTTCACCGGATCTGCACTGGAAGCTGCCTCTGCGTAACTTTGTTCCTCCTAACATCCTCATAAGTGCCATCCTGACATGACAAGTGTCACAGGGGGGTGGCAGTCAAAGCTGCACCCAGTACACAGAGCACCAGCCCCTCACTGATCCTCCTGCAGGTGGTGAGTCCACAGGAGCCTTGATCTTTCAGCGGGGACTTCAGGCAAAGTGGGGTTAAGTGTCTTGACCGAGGTCACAACGACAGCAGTCATCAGTGGCAGCCTTTAGGACCAAAGGCCAATTCTCCACTGTCGCCCATTTTATTGTGTTCTCATTTAACATGCATTTGTATCTGCAAAAGCTTAAAGAATATAACTATCGCAGCATGGTTAACACAAAGCAATTTGCTTTATTCAGATTGTTTATTTGGCAAGGACTTTTTAGTGAACTTATTTTGTTGTGAGTTTTGAGTGTGAGGAATATACAGTTAACAAAATATGCAGCGTTTATGAAATAATGTATTTTAAACTTTGAAAGGGCATAAATTGTGTGGTACAATGCTTGAGACGATTAAGTATTTAGAAACAGACCAGTGGACGGTGGTCAAATTGTTCTCCACCAAGTCTCCATTAAGTGACTTGGCAACAAAAAAGACTGTCTAAAATCTGCTCACTTTTCTAGGCATTAAGAGTCAAGGGGTTTAGATAAAACAAGAAAAACAATATTTTTATGATCAATCAATACGCCAGTAGTGATGCATCATTCAAAGTAAACAAATAAGCCATGGAACAGGCTGATATTTGCGGGATCAGATGTGATCTTCACTTGCATCGTACATAATGCTTGAATAGTTCTTACTGAATAGCTCACATTGACACTCATTGTATGTCGTCATAATCATTCCAACACATTGAACAAATTTGTATTGACCTACCAAATGCTACAAAGTGCTACCCAGTGCTTTTAGTTTGAGACACATGGGGAGACATGGACACAGGCAGTGTATTTATTGCATGCACTGGTTACGCATAGACACGCACTTGCTCCTGTCTACGTCTGGTCTGTGCTGGTCACATGGCCACGTTACGGCTGTGCACTTGTCGCACTGTTGTCAAAGCGGCTTACAGCCAGTGGATGCTGGAACCACTGTCATTCACTACATAGTGCCCGCAGTTGGTCCAGGGAATCCCGTTCAAGTACTTACATATTACATCCATGCTTGCTCCTTGTGGTTGCGCTGGTAATAACAAAGAGCTAACACACGTTCGCACAAGGTTGTCAAGGCCGTCAGATTTACCAACATAATTTTTAGTTGCCACACGATAACTCAATATATTTTTCATTGCGAAAGCAGAGTTCTACTTATCTCATGGAAATTACACCTGCAAGATTTTGTTACGATTGACCAAACGACTACTATGATGTAAATACTATATACAATATTGTTGCATATTACAACAGTCTCCAATGTTTTCATGTGGGAAATATTAGGGTTGTAATTATTTAAAGTTCCTCTTTCAAGAAATAACTTGTAAATAGCTCTTTGTTAAATTCCACTGTGTCTTATGATGTGTGCCCTCTGCCAGCTCCTCTCAGCTCTGCGGTGAGAGTGGGGAGACTCGCTGACAGGTTTTTGGGGGCGTCTGGAAAAGCTTTGTGGCCCCTTATCTTTGAAGCTGCACCGACTTCTGCCTGAGTCTGAACTTGCGCTCCGTGCCACCGCTGTCAAGGCAACGCAAAGCACATGCCAAATGCCAACTGGTGTGCAAATAAGAGAAGAGGAGAAGTTTCTGGTACTGTTGGGGCTGGATTGTTTTAGTGAGACTGACTGTGCTGCTCGTCACACTCAAATGTTGTTGATAATGCATTTTATTTGGGCCATTAACGCAGAATCTATTTGGCTAATGTATGCTCGGAGGAAAGGATGTGATGTATTTTAGCACTTCTCTGGATATTGAACTCATTGCCTCTGTGCAGTCATTGCGGCTTCAAACAGATGGATTGTTTCGAGACAACCAGCCGCACTTCACACAAGGTCTATATATTATGCAGTATTTATCCAAGTGATTGTATTTGTTTTGGCAAGGCGAATCAATAAAAGAAATGATTGTTTTCAGGAAAAATGTGTTGTCCTCACAAAGGGAAAGTCACTGTGTGCTGCTGGCTTTTGAAAGGAAAGGCATGTCACAGTAATTAGTATTAAATTATTAAGAGTTACTGTACATTTCATTTCCAAGCATTAGTGACTCTTGGACACATGCTCCCTTGTTTGGTTATTTTGAGTTCAGAAATATAGCTCGTTTGCCCCATGTGAACCAGAATATGTCGGGTTGAAGTGAATTAGTGAAGTGTGAACGTGCCCTGAAGAGAATGTCAGTGTTTTTGTTTACAAACTCTGTCTTGATCTCCGAGCACAGTTAACCGGCTCGCTGTGTCTCCAGGTGTAGTCAGGTGCTTTCACTCATCTGCTAATGCATTTGGTTTGCCTCGTCACCCGTGGTGTTTACCTCTGAAAGAACAGGATAATTAAATGATGCTGCCTTTATCACCAAATCAATAGTATGGATCTGTGTCTGGAGTTTTGGAAGCGGCTTGTTTTATAGTGGTCTACTGTGTCTTTCAGGTAGGCCTCCATGCCTGCGGGGTGGCAACGGACATGGTGATGGAGCACTGTATCCAGGCCGGAGCCGCCTTCGTCATCAGCCCCTGTTGCTATGGCTTCATCCAGAATGCAAACAAGTTCAGCTTCCCTAGGAGGTTTGTACCCACTCCCAGCACTTGTGCAACAGTCTATGATTTTCCACTGAGACCCCCCCCCCCCCCCCCCCCCCCATCCATCATAATCACTGCTCATTAACAAGGTCATTTACAAACCTTACTACTTTTTCCCACAATAACAGGTTTTCCTTCTATTACAAGGGTTGAGTTTGACCAAATAATTTGCTGCTGGATGTCATGCAAATGATCAATTGTCAATGTTGGCAATTTATATTATCCCTTAGATGAATAATGATTTACCTTTTCATAGTTGAGTATGGTAATTTAATTGATCTTCCTTATCCTACTTGTTGTAATTTGCAATGCATAGAAAGTTTGCATGTAGAAAATGTTTCCAAAATACACCGACGATGTTTTTGGGCTGATAGGTAAACATATGTTTTCTGCATACAAATACGATAAAAAAAATATTTCTCAAAGCACTTGTTTCAGGCCACTTTACAGTAGTTTTGAAATATATTCATTATTGAGAGCTCAAAAGTTTGTTCTATTACAAAAAAAAAAGTAATTTACAGTGTTGTGCCAGTTCACAACTTTTTTGAACTAGTTCAAGTTCAGTTCATACATGCTCAAAGTGAACAGTTCACGTTCAAAGTTCACAATTTTAATTCTGAACTAGTTCAAAGTTCAGTTCATTTTACTTTTTACGTGATATATATATATATATATAAACTGTACACCGCACAGGATGTTTTGACTCCAAAACAGACAAGATTACATGGGTTTCAATGGGAACTGAGTTGTCCCATCTCTGCTCATACTGTAAGTACTACAAACTGTATTGCGCTGCAGTGCGTGTGACTATACTTTATGTCAAATGTAAACGGCCTTGTGTCACTGACACAAGGCCGTTTACATGTGAGTCCAACAACCAATGAATAGCACTAGCATACGGCGCCGCACTGTAGTAAAACGGAGTCGGGGTGCGTTCACAGACAGTGGAAACCGTGGGAATTTTTTCTTTTGGCAGAAAAAGTGCAGAGAATACAGGAGGGGGGAACTTTCTCTCGTTGCATTTCAAAAGAGAAAACAGATATCACTCAGTATTCAATGGAAAAGCAATTGTCTGTCGTTCATGACACATAATATGAACTAATTCACGTTCAAGTTCTTTATTAAAATCAGAATCAGAATATTTTTTATTGCCACGTAAGTAACAGGAGGTCACAGACTTGGAAATTGCTTTGGCTCAGTGCAACATTCAGAAAGAGAGTTAAGGGTAGAGAGGCATAATAAAAAAATAAAGAATAAAAAACACGTTACAATTACTATATACAATATACAAGTGCACATGGTGCACACAATGTAAGGTGACAGCAGTAAGAAGAATGTTCTTGTGGCGGGAGGTTCTAGTCCTGATGGACCGCAGCCTCCTGCCTGAGGGGAGTGGTTGGAACAGCCCATGTGCAGAGTGAGAGAGGTCGGCTGTGATACGACCAGCCCGGCCTCGAGCTCGGGCGACGTACAGGTCCTGCAGCGATGGAAGGCTGTGGCCGATCACTTCCTCTGCAGAGCGCACAATGCACTGTAGTCTCTGTTTGTCCCTGACAGTGGCTCCAGCGAACCACACGGTGATGGAGGAGGTGAGGATGGACTCAATGATGGCCGTGTAGAACTGCACCAACATCTGTGCAGGCAGCTTGGCTTTCCTGAGCTGCCGCAGGAAGTACATCCTCTGCTGGGCCTTTTGATAAGTCGGCTCCCACTTGAGGTCCTGGGTGATGGTGGTGCCCAGGAAATGAAAGGACTGGAAAATGTGGAAAATGTGCTGTGTTCAGTTCAACGTTCACAAAAAAATGAGCGTGTTCAACAAACGTTTTCTTTTGAACTCGTTCACGCACAACACCGGTAATTTAGAACAATTGATTTATTAAAGCAGGGGTCTCAAACCGGTTCCAGAAAGGGCCATGTGGCTGCAGGTTTTACTTCCAACAGTTCCAAACTGAGCAGTAGCACAGATCACTCCACCTCCACCCACTTTTGGAAGTAAAACCTGCAGCGACATGGCCCTTTCTGGAACCGGTTTGAGACCCCAGTATTAAAGGCTACCCTATCTTATCATCTCAGGGTTTATTTGCAAAGGACTTGCATATATTAAATACATGGGTTTGTAATTAGCTTTGTATAGATTATATGGATTATATTTATTGAGTTTAGTATATATACATATAAATTATGCTGCAGTCCTCGATATTTTATCTATGTTTACCCAGCATTTTCTCAATACAAATCTCTCCACTTTCTCCATCAGCAGGATAGTATGATAAACAAACACATTTGCTTTGTTTTCTAGTTTCAACATTAATTTTCATGTAAGAGTCTAACATCGCAGCAGCAGAGAGTAGTTAATGTCCGGATAGTGCTGAGACATGCTTAGGTTTAATGGTGTTGATCCTGTTACCATAGCAGCACAGTGGCCACTGTCATGGGCAGACAATCACAACATGGCAGTGTCTCTACAACAACAGAGAGACAGAACTAACTTCTCTGTTTCTTCAAGGCTCATGTTTGTTCATGTTTGAGTCTCACCATAATATGCCATATTTGTGCGTATCTGAAAGGCACATTCCAAAGCCTTTTTGTAATTGAAGACATTTACCTTGGATATGTTTGACTCCTGAAATCTGTATTTTTTTCTCTGCTCAAGGGTGGTAATAGGACACTTCTCTCAGATTTCAACGATATCTGCTTTTCTTATTTCCATTCACTCTTTCAGTGGAGTACCTTACTTTTGATTTTGTTTCATGCATTTTGTGTGACCCAACCGAAGAGCCTTGTCGGAGAGCTCGTTTGTGAACAAATTAGACCACGACAATGTTTTTCTTATACGAAAACATTGTTTCTTTTACATACACTGTGAGGGTGGTAATCTCTTTTTGTTTTTTTCTAAAATGTGACCAGACATAAGTTCATAGGAAAATTAGCGATAGAACCAAACATACAGCAAGGGACTAGTTACATGTACGCACAGATATAGTTTTAAAGAAGAACAATAGTGATCGCAGGACATTTTCTTTTCTTGTCACACACACACACATGTTTGCACCAAATAATATACCAATTACTTTTGTAGATTAAAATTGGACTACAGTATAACATCTGAGCAACTTTGTACTGTGATCTCAAACTTGCTTCGCCAGCGGTCAAGAAATTGAAAATAGTGTGCCTTCGGGGACCCTTCTTGTGTGTGTATATATAAATATTTAGTGACTCTCACATTCTTCACTTTCCCTGACTCCACCACTGCTAAGCTGACACCTCACCGCTCCTCAGCTCTCATAAAATATTAACTTGTGACAGCCATAAGAGTGCAGCTGCAGACAACAAGCAGCAGTGTGTCCGCGGGGCTCCCGATTACCCGTGTGTCAATCTGGGTCCTGCCACTTGAACACTCACACCCCCGGGTCATGTTCCAGCTAACAGCGGCCTGCGCAGGTGGACACATTCCGGGAAGTCCACACTTTTATGAGTTAGGAAAACTAAACTGCTCCATTTTGTACATCATCTCCACTGCCTCATCCACTCCGCTGCATCTCAAGCGTACATCCTTGGTTTTATGACACCGAGGCCAGTGCCGTGACTTTTGTTTTTGTTTTTTACCAAAATCTTCCTGCAGGTTTCTCGTAGTACCATTTCTGTTTTGTCTGGTTTGATTGTGCGCTCTGATTGGTTGACACCCAGCGAAGTTGGCTAAAAGTTCCGTATTGTTGAACTTTTAAAGAATTGCTGTATTGCTGGGGAGCTTACTTACCTAAACTTATTTATGATTATAATATGTAAAACTTCATGCTAATATAATATATATCCATGGTCATCTATTAGGGCCCAAACTCTCTGACTGTCTCTCTTCACATGTATAGGCTCCCTACTGTGAGCTGTGCGTAAACGGGAGCATGGCCCCTCCATCAGCTGCCGACTCGAATGTGTTTGGCTCTTTATGAAGCACCACAGTGGTAAAGAAGTCATCGGGCCTGTATATTACTTGTGTGTAGCTGATCAGCGCAAGACAGGTTTTCCAAAGTGAGTTTTGATAGCACAGATTAACTTTTTTAATTTTTAATCAGATCAGAATCAGAATAATTTTTATTGCCATGTATGTAACAGGAGTCACAGACTTGGAAATTGCTTTGGCTCAGTGCAACAGTCAGAGAGAGATAATAAAAAATAAAGAATAAAAAACACTTCTATGGAATAAATTTAAATTTAAAATAGAGTTACAGTATGACTTTGTAGCTCAATATCTCTTCATATGGAACATGTCTGTCCAAGAAACATTTTGTGGTGGTGGTGGTAACTGCTAAATTTCTGCTTTAAATGAGAACACCCAACATGTATAGGAATTAATTCTGTTTTTGTTGTCTGCGTCCGTCTTCCTCTCTGTAGAGGGACTGCCCCATGCACACGTCAGACAGACGCATGTCACCCACAATGTGGCCATTTCTATTCACTCTTTGTGGTGATAACGGAAACTTTAACTGACTGCTGCTGAAGGTTCCTCGGCACAGCAGTGCAAGTGAGATGTTTGCCTTCTGTGGTGTCCGCTCCTGTTCTGCATCTCTTCGTAATGTTCAGTTCAGATTCATGTGTCGTCTGAGGAACTTTCATAATGCAATTGTTAAGACTCTGGTCAGCCCCGAGTCCTGCTCACTGCTGTTCACCTCCAAATTATGGACTTACTGGAGGTCATGCCTTTATACTGTACAGCAGCTGTAATCTTCCCTTTTTTGTTTTACTGGGTATATTTCTTTTTCAATATACTGTGTGTATTAGATATTTTCTATGGACCGTATTGTATTGTGTCCTTATCAAAGATTAATAATGAGATGTTTTGCGGTATACGTATAGGCCATTTTACACAGTGGGTTTGGGCCCTAACCTACAATCTACAGCACATGCATAAGTACTGTATGTGTAACCACACTAATAGTTTTTATCTAATATTTTTATACTTTATAGGGACTGTGACAGACTTTTGTTTTGTTATGTGTTTTTATCTTAATACAGTGTTTTCATCATTATCAAAAAACGTTGTTTCAGACTTTTGGTCCGTTCAAAGACAAACGGACAATCACAACAATAAGCCTCACTCAATGTCTCCACAGTTCAGACTGGTACCGTGATGCACTGTATCTGTCATCAAGCTTCTGATTACAATGTTCTGACTTTCATTGAGCTGACGGATAAAACTGTTCATCACAGGACTGCCTGAAATGTCCTTATTCTTGCGGACACAATGCTTGCACTTTCCCATCTTGGCCATTTCAATAAAATCTTCTTTTGTATCCTATATATTCCTTTTCATTCCCTTTGCTTAGCAGAGTTAACATATTGTATATTCTAATGTGCATGTCATGTTAATCTTCCAGAGCACACAGACTGGGAACATTAGCCCCATTTGTGTGGATGTTTCCAGCTACACTTTGTTCTACGGAGATAACACTTTTCAGTCTTGGCACGTTTTGAAAGTTTTTGGTGTTGATTTTCGACGAGCTTTGAACTTTGCTTTTGTGATACTACAGTCCCTTTCACCTTTTATTTTGTTTTAATTTGCAGAGTTAATAGAATGCAAGCTTTATCCTGATTGATGTTTGTTCCCCTTTCTTAATTGTGGTCTCCTTTGTGGTCCTTGCATTTGTTGTTTTTAAATTAACTTGCTCCGTTCACTTTGTTCCCAGGTCAAAACAAAACCCCCTGTTTTCAGACCGTATTGCATTCTATAACAGCAAAGCTGTACCGCTTGTTTGTGTACAGGATTTACAAGTTTTACAAGTAAAATAAATGTTTTTTGTTTGGGAGAGATTGAAGTTCATAAGTTTAGTTCCAAAGCTGTGTGCAAAACAGGTGTCTCATTATATTCAAAGATCACTTCGTAACAGACTTTTTTTCTTTCTTTCAGCCAAAGATTTCAAGAGACCCTGACTTATAAGGTAATATTGGAATTATACATTGCTTGCATAAACTATGAAATGTTCAACTATTATAATCTTTCTGTATTTTAAACTTTTAAAATGGCATTATACTCCATTTAAGTTTATTATAACTTAAATGCGTTAAATATCATGTAGGTTTTAGAAAAGCAATGTTGCATATAAAGGTGTAAGCACTTCCCTATACTCCTTTACATATTCCACTGAAAAGCTGGAAGAAAGACCTTTTCCAAACTATTATAGAAATATAGCAACATAAAGTGCGGCAAAAGTGGGAAAAATTCTATTCATGCTTTTTGTTTTAAGAGACACTTTGTTCCTTCGGCTGTCAGACTGTACAAAAGACCTGTATGAGTTTCCTGCTGCTAGACACCTGAAATTCTCCTACAGGGGATCAATAAAGTATCATCTATGTCTGTTTAGGTTTGCTCCAGGTGCTCCAGTTTCCTCTTCCACAAAAAAAATATGTACAATAGGGGAGAATTGATTGATTTAGTTTGTGAGTGTGACTGTGAGACTATAGATGAAAATTGGCTACAAAAAGCTATATAATTGTTTATTAACCGCTGCTGCTGTTTATTAATACAGACTGTCCTATCCAAATGAAAAAATTACAAATTAACCAAGATATTTGAATTCATAGTCATTGTTGTTGTTTGTAGAAGCATTGTGATGGGGCATATCTCAAATGTATGTAACGTAAGCTAATGTAGAATGTGATGGGTGAGAAACCTTCCTTTGCTCTAATGTAGAACAGTTTTGTCTCCAGGCTGCTGCGCATGTCGGCTTGCTCCTTGCATCCAAATCCCTTATCAGTGTTCCCAGACACGTGCTGTTGTGCTGCACTCCTACTGTGGTGATGCATGGGTGCTGTCGGCTCGCCCCAGGGAGACCTGTGTGAAAGGTAGAGGCAGGTTGGTCTTTGCCAACTCAAGAGTTTGACTTACAACAGTCCACCACCTCTAGCGGGCTGTCCTCTCCGTGGTGCTTTTGCCTTCAGAGCATTGCACATATAGGATTAGAGATTATTTACAGGCCCGTGGGAAAATCTGTGTTTCTTCTCCGGATATGCTGCCGGTTTTGGATTAGTGGGAATCAGTCACAGGTTTCCATTTCCACTGCAATGCATCCGGTGAAAGAATACAACAACATATAAGTAGAGTGAACTTATATTCCTTCTGTTGTCAGGCGGCAAATTGATTGGTTGCTGGATTGGCCTGTTTTTGCCTGGCAATTTTCTTCTGATTTTTCCTAAGCCTGTCCCTGAATCATTTCCAATTAACTGAAGATGACACAGGAGAAGTGCGCCACAAGAAGCAACCAGCCAATCCGTGCCTGAGCTACTTATCCATCTTACATTTAAAAAAAAAAAAAAGTTCAAGGACTCTATTGTAGCATATTAGGCAAGGCAAGGCAAGGCACGTTTATTTATATAGCACAATTCATACACAAGGCAATTCAAAGTGCTGAACAAAACAAGAAAGCATTAAAATCATAAATTATCACAGAACATTAAAAAGAAAGATAAAAATATAAAATCCCTCAGTTGTATGCACAGTTAAACAGAACCGTCTTTAACCTGGTTTTAAAGATTGTCAGAGAGGAGGCCTGTCTCACATCTTCAGGAAGACTGTTCCAGATTTTAGCAGCATTAATCTGAAAAGCAGCCTCCCCATGTTTAGTTCTGACTCTGGGCACTAACAGGAGTCCAGTCCCTGTGCTCCTCAGAGTCCGGGCTGGTTCATATGGGACTAACATGTCACTAATATATTTTGGTGCGAGGCTATGGAGAGACTTGTACACAAGCAGAGCTGTTTTAAAGTCTATTCTCTGAGCCACAGGAAGCCAGTGCAGAGACCTGAGGACTGGACTAATGTGGTCGTACTTCCTGGTTCTTGTCAGGACTCGAGCTGCTGCATTTTGAATGTACTGCAGCTGTTTTACAGCCTGTTTGGACAGACCTGTGAGCAGGCCATTGCAGTAGTCTAACCTACTGGAGACAAATGCATGGATAAGAATCTCCAAGTCTGCTTTAGACACTATGTTTTTGATCCTGGCAATGTTTTTTAGATGGTAAAAAGCTGCTGATGTTACTGATTTGATGTGGCTATTAAAATTTAAGTCTGAGTCCAGTATTACCCCTAGATTTCTGACCTTGTTTGAAGGTTTTAGGGAGAGAGACTGTAGGTGACAGATGACGCTCTCTCTTTGTTTCTGGGGACCAAAGACAATCATTTCAGTTTTGTCTGCGTTTAGCTGAAGGAAGTTGTTTTGCATCCACTCACTGATCTGTTGGATACAGTGAAGGAGTGAGTCCACTGGTCCATGTTCTCCTGCAGTCAGTGAGACATAGATCTGAGTGTCGTCTGCATAGTTATGATAGGAAACTTTGTTTCTGCGTATTAACTGACCTAACGGCAGCATGTAGAGATTGAACAGAAGAGGTCCCAGGATCGACCCCTGTGGGACTCCACAGGTCAGGGCCATATGATCTGAGACACAGTTTCCAATCTCCACAAAGTACTTCCTGTCTTCAAGGTAAGACCTAAACCAACTTAGGGCGGTGCCAGTGACGCCAACCCAGTCCTCTAGTCTCTGTAAGAGGATCTCATGGTCGACGGTGTCAAAGGCAGCACTTAGATCTAACAAGATTAAGATTGAGACTTTGCCTGCGTCAGTGTTCAGCCGGATATCGTTTGTAACCTTAACGAGAGCAGTCTCAGTGCTGTGGTGGGGTCTAAAGCCGGACTGAAACATATCAAATGAGTTGTTGATTATAAGAAATCTAGTAAGCTGTAGGTAGACAACTTTCTCAAGGACTTTCCCCATAAATGGCAGATTTGAGATGGGACGATAGTTGTTAAGTACAGTGGCATCCAGACTGCTCTTTTTTAGCAGGGGCCTGATGACTGCAGTTTTCAGGGCCTTTGGGAATATTCCAGAATGAAGGGACATGTTTACTATCTGTGTGAGTGAAGGTAACAGACTGCTCAGAACAGACTTCAGAAATCTAGTGGGTAGTACATCCAGGCTGCATGTGGAGGAGCTCAAACTGGAGATTATCTCTTGGACAGTTTTATCATTTACAGGTGCAAAGTGAGTTAGCTCAGAGAGCCTTTCTGGCTGTTGGATGGTTATCTGTGGATTGGAGACAATGGCGCTTTTGATGCCTTGAACCTTGTCATTGAAAAAATTAGCAAACTCATTGCATTTACGTTTGGAAGTAAGCTCTAATGGCATTTGAACAGGGGGGTTTGTTAATCTATTAACTGTTGAGAACAGAACACGCAGATTGTTGCTGCAGCCTTCAATCATTTCAGAAAAATACCTTTCTCTCGTACTACGTAGCACCCGGTTAAACTCGCACAACTTATCTTTGAAGATCTCGTAATCTACCTGGAGGTTGGACTTGCGCCACTTCCGCTCGGCCCTCCGGCACTTTCTCTTTTGTGCCCTGACCGAGTCTGCTTTAGCCCACGGCGCCTTCTGCTTATTTTTCACTATTTTAACCTTCACAGGGGCAACGGTATCCAGAACATTCAAAACACTAGAGGTGACAGAGTTAAACAGTTCATCTACAGTAGAATACGATGCATTCTCAAAGTTTATCATTTCCATAAATAGTTCACTCGTATTTTCATTTATGCGCCTTCTTCGAACAGTTGCAGAGTCCACTGGTGGTTTGTTAGTGAAACACATGTCAAAAAAAACACAGAAATGATCCGAAAGAGCAACATCGACCACGTTTACATTTGAAATAATCACCCCCTTTGTAACTAACAGATCTAGAGTGTGCCCTCTGCTGTGGGTGGGGCCACTTACGTGCTGAGTGAGATCAAAGGATTCAAGTACAGAACTCAGCTCATTTGCATTTCTGTCATCAACATTATCCACATGAATATTAAAATCACCTGTAATAACCAAACTATCAAAATCTGTGCATACAACTGAAAGCAACTCGGTAAAATGATCAATAAAACTGTGACATGACTGCGGTGGCTTGTATAGGACAACGAAGAGTATTGGAGGAGATTGTTTTTGTTGTATTTTAAAAGACACATATTCAAATGACGAAAACTTCCCAAGAGACATTCTATGGGAGACAAAGTGGTCTCTAAAAATGGCAGCTAAGCCTCCTCCTTTTTTGTTTTCCCGTATTTCAGATTCAAACTTGAAATTTGGTGGTGATGCTTCTATTAAAACTGTATTTTCTGAATTTTGGTCAAGCCAAGTTTCAGCCATTAACATAAGATCAAGATTATGAGAAGAAATAAAATTATTGATTAAAAAAGACTTGTTACAAAGAGATCTGACATTAAGCGTAGCAAGTTTCAAAGTTTCAGTATCAGCGGTTGCGGTCGGCTGATTCTTACACGGAACAAGAATTAGATTTTCCAGATTAGACTGATTAACTCCAGATGTTTTTCTGTAATGTATTCTTTGTGTTATCACTAAGGGAATGGCACAGGTGGCTTCATGACAGGGCCCCAGCCGGGTCTCTCCTCTAACTAGACTGCCAGTGGCTGCGAAGCAGAGACCCTGTGCATCCTAGTGTTTAGAGAAAAGAGGGGTAGGGGAAGGCTGGGGAGGAGGATGGAGAGGTGGGTGGCTTTTGGGTGTTGAACGAGGGGGGCAGGGAGGTGGATGGGTTTTTGGTGATGGGTTAGGGGAGGGGCAGGCTGAGTTGGGTGGTGGACGAGGGGGGAGTGGAGGTGGAGGGTTTCTTGGTGAGTTAGGGGGGGGGAGGTGGGCTAAATGAGCAGGAGGGGGGGGTGGAATACTTATGGGGTTAGAGGAGGGACTGGCTTAGGTGGTTATTTGTAGGTGAATTGGAAACCCTAGGTGGTTTTGGAGGTACATATGGGGATGGGTTTGAATGTTGGACAGGACTGTAGATCTAGCTAATATGGGTGTGAAGAGGTATAGACTTCATCGCCGATTTTATAGCCCCAGAGTGTTCAGGTAGGTCAAACAGTGAAGGCGGGGATGACAAAACAAAGGAGGTGTCCCCAATCGCTCTTGATGGAGTGGACGAGGCAGGGGGGACCCAAGCCAGGTCCATAGGGAGGTGGCGAGGGAGTCTTTGATGGAGGGGCCGGGTGTATAGAGGAAACCCCAGCACAGGCCCTGTCTGCTGTAAGGCAGGGATGAGGAAGGGCTTCAGAGGCCTGTAGATGAAGAAGGCGTAGCTGCTTTGTGAGCAAGGCTGGGGATATAGGATGTTGGTGTGGTGGTCTTGCACCTGGTGCTGCTACTGGTGATGATGCAGCTGCTGCTGTGCTACTGCTGGTGCTGGTGTGATGCGGCAGCTGCTGGTGATGAATTCAGCTGCCTGCTAGCTGTGTGCTTGCTGCTGGCTGGAGGTGATGCTGCTGCTGCTGGTGCTGCTCTGCTAGGTGCTGACTGCTGGTGGCTGGATAGGTGATGCAGCTGCTGCTGGTGGTTTGATGCAAGCTGCTGCTGGTGCTGGCGCTGGTGCTGGTGGTGATGCCAGCTGCTGCTGTGTGATGGTTGTTGAGATCCTCTCGAGGTGGTGGTGGTGTTGAGATCCGTTTCGAGGTGGTGTATGTGCAGAGACTTTTAAGAGTCGGCTTCCTCCCTTTCGATGGCTGCACGCGCTGCGCAGAGCTGAGTCTCAGGGCAAAAGAAAGGTTATGTTGAATCCCTCAACACTTTTACTCCGTAATGTTCAATGTGGCCCCTTTCCCTTCAAAAAAGCTCATGCCCTATTTCCAGAACAGATTAAAATTCTCCATGAAAAAAATGGCAAGTCGCTCTGCGTGAACAATCGTTGAGTAGGAAAGTATTTTAGCTGATACAAGACACTGAATTTCATTTGCTTCCCGTCCATAGTTGGTAGTGGGCCACTGATAACGATTGTTCGACCATTTTATCAAGGTCCGTCCAATAGTGAGAATAATCCCGTTTCAACTTTTCACTTTGTTGTTGTCCATAGACGTCTACTGCCCCACGTGGATCAACAATCTTTTACCCGCCGTTCTCAGACAGAAGCCTCGGAGCAACCCCGCCTATCTCATCCACATTGCAGAGTGTACAGAGTGACCTGAGATTACTCCATGTTTACATTTTTCACCGAGCCATCTCCGATAAGGACACAGTTTGTCCTTGGTGGAGGCGCTGCAGTTTTTAGCAGCTTTGTTGTAGAGACTACTGCTGATTCATCTTCCAAAAGTGGTGAA